AGTTCAGTTCCCAGCATCCACACCAGGCAGCTCACAGTTGTTGTTGGCACCTTGACCTCTGGGGGCATCTGTACTTATGAGCATGAACTACCATAAGGACTGACACACATGTGCACAATTAAAAACAATTTTAAAGATTAAACGTGTCCTGAGGGTCAGTATGATGGCTCACTGGGTCGAGGCATTTGCCTACTGAACTCAGTCCAACTCCTGGAACCCACAAGGTAAAGAGAGGTGACTTCTGAAAGTTGTTCTCTACCCCTTCTGCCCCCCACTGTGGCACAAGTGCCCTCCCCCACTCCACAAAATGAAGGGTTCTGAGAAGGCATTATTCCTTTATCACTCTGTATGTCACCCCCATGATCACTGCATTTGCAGAAACAAAATAGAAAATAAAAACATCAGCTGAACTTTTCTCTGATTTGAGTAAAATTGAAAGGAAGCTATTTTCTAAGTTCGACAGGGATATTTCTGCCAGCTGTGGTGTCACATGCCTTAGTCCCAGTACTGGACATGTCAAGGTTAGCCAGGGCTACATAGTGAGGCCAGAGAGAGAGAGAGGCAGAGACAGACACATACAGAGAGAAACAGAGAGAGACAGACACACAGAGAAACAGAGAGACAGAGACAGAAAGACACACAGAGAGACAGAGACACACACACAGAAAGACACACAGACACACAGACACACAGACACACACAGACACAGACACACACACACACACACACACACACACACACACACACGGGGCGGGGGGGAGTATTCATTCCTGTAATTCTGGTACACAGGAGTTTAACCTGAGTTACACATTGTCTCAGAATAGGATATATATTAAAAATTGAGGTAGAAGTGAATTACAAAGGGCCTTAGTGCACTGAAATTCTATAGCCATGTGTTTTAGAAAGTCAGTGGATTGGAAGAAGGGAGCTCTTGCTGAAACTGAGGCTGGTGACTTGATGTCCTTTATATTACTGAGCTGCAGAGCACATCTGCATAGCCTTGTAAGCCTGTGTATCTTACGCCAAAGATTGACATCTCTAAGAAACCCCAGTTAGCAGGTGCAATGTTTGTGTCGCAAATGCACCCACCTGCTGTGGGCTGCATCATAGTGTTCTTTCCTTCCAATCTACCTTCCTGTACAACGCTCTCTTCCTGAAAGCAAACAGACTTTGATATTGGAGTCTCAAGTGTGTCACGAAGTCTCTCCAAACACAAAAGCATGAGCTCTACTTTAAAAGGAATAGTCCTGAAAGCTTATCTTTGCGGCGGGTGTAAGAAGCATTGGACAGGTAGCTATGCCCCAACAGAGAAGTCAGAGCAGAACCTGCCGGAACACAGCATGTGTGCGCCAAGGGAAGGAGCGGTTGCATAGGTTCACAACTGAAGGTCTGGTTAACCTGCAACCACACAGAACAGGGGCAAAGGCGTGTCGCAGTGCTTTGTGGTGTACTTGGAACTACACAGCTGACAGATTAGAAGATGTTTTCTTGCTTGGTGCAAAACAAGAGGCTTAAAGGAAGTTCAATGGCAACCGAAAGTTGACTCGTGATTTGTAAACCGACTGGCTATGCTTGATGAGCCTTCTGAGTTGATAATCTTTGAGAGCCAAAAGGTCCCAGAGCCCCGCTAAGTAATGTCCTTGTGACATCCCTGCTTAAGCCTGCCGTTTAACACTATGGAACCTAAACGAAGGAAACTTCCTGCCCAGTTTTTGGGGGCACTGATTACCTCTTGAGGCGTCCTCAAGGATTGCAGCTGGTGTTTCTCATGATTCCTGGGGTTGTAACTGTAGAAGCGTAGCCTAGCTGTCAGGTCACAACACATGGTCCAGGGAACTGTCACATACCGACATGCTTCCTGCCACACGATCTTTTTTAGCCCACGGCGCCATCGCCCAGCTGCAGCCACTCTCTCTGCCAAAACACCTTTGATTTTCCTAGGGACAGAGAGAGATGCACTCTGATGCCATGGAGTGGAAGCCCCAGGCCTCTCTTGTGCGCTATCCCGAACAGAGTAGTAGCTAGGCCAGGTCTCAACTGGCAGGACTGTGTGCTTGTTTATTTTTATTTTTATAAAGGGGGCTATTTTTAAGTGCGAGACGCTTCTTATCTTTGAGTTAGCTCAAATACATTTCCTACCAGCCAAGCAGGCAATGTGGCTGCTGGGATGCAAAGAGTCTGACTGAAAGTTCTGTGGCTGACACTGTGAGGGTGGCTTTGAAGGAAAGCTGGGGTTTATGACAAGAGGATTTCCTGAGCTTCACTAACATCTGTTCCCTGGGAATGCAGGCCCGGCTTGTGGGGGAGGGGGTTTGGGGTGAGTATTGCCCTTGGGGTGGAGGACTTGTAAGATGTAAGCATTCAAAGCTGGCTGGTTCCGTTTGCCAGCTTCTATTTCCTGTTGTAAAGCAGTTCCTTGTCAGGGTTGTGTGCAGCTGACAGCCAGCCTGCTCACAGAAATATTGCTGGCTGTCCCAGCTGCCCTCTTGCCCCTTCACAGAACCCTCTTCTTTTCTCTCCTTTCCTTTTCCCCTTTCTTTTCTCTTCTTCCTTCCTTCCTCTTTCTTTGTTTCTTTCTTTCTTTGTTTCTTTCTTTGTCTCTCTCTCTCCCTCCCTCCCTTCTTCCCTCCCTCCCTCTCTCCCTTCCTTCCTTCCTTCCTTCCTTCCTTCCTTCCTTCCTTCCTTCCTTCCTTCCTTTTGGTTTTTTGAGACAGGGTTTCTCTGAGTAGCCTAGACTGTCCTGGAACTCTCTCTGTAGACCAGGCTGTCCTCAAACTTATAGAGATCCACCTGCCTCTGCCTCCTAAGTGCTGGAATTAAAGGTGTGTGCACGCTGCCACCATCTCCCTGCCCAGTACTTTTTCTTAACCTGTTGATACCCTAAAGCAGTCCTGTAAGTTAGGCGCTATAGTCACTCCATATGACAGAGGAGAATGGACTCTCAGAAAGGAAATTTGCCCAAAGTCACACATCTGCTAAGTGGCACATCTAGGATAATACTCTTGTCATTGTTCATAATGGCAGACTGCCTCCTGAGATACAGCCTGTAGGTGGTATGCAGTCAGGAGTACTCCCTACGTATCAGAGCATCAAGTGTGTGTTGTCCAGACCAGAAGCATGGTATCGGCTGTGTTAGCTACACCGAGTCACAGGGCCTTTAAGGGCTGATAGTACGAGTTGTGCCTGTGCTCTAGGGCTTTCACAGGGGCCTCATTGCAGGTCCCCATAGATGTCTTAATCTACACGGGTCTGTATCTTTTTTTTGTAAGACTATGTAGTGTTTGTATAGAGCCTACACACACCTCCTGTATACTTCAATTATCTCTAGGTGATTTTTTTTCCCCTTTGGAATACAATCTTGTTGTGTAGCCTAGGCTGAACTCACAATCCCCTTGCCTTAGCCTCCCGTGTTGTGGGTTACAAGTGTGTACTACTACACTCACTCTAGATGACCTTTCAGTCTTGATACAATGTACGCCCTATAAGCAGCTGTCATGTTTCCCAGGCATTTCGTATGGTCACTGAATATGCAGTTTCCATCCTGCATGCTTTTTATTAGTGGCTGGTGACCCACAGATGTGGAATGAATCGACAGAGAGGGCCAGCTATGACTGTGTATCAAAGGCTTCTTCAGTACCATGGCTAAAGGGGGACTACAGCAGTATGGGAGTGTCAAGCCAAGAGTCAAGATGGGAGGGGGACATACCACCATGTTGTTACTAAATTAAGCCCACTTGGTGTTGTGTGTCTGTACCATGCAGGAGAGTGGCCACTGGGACCACTGGGGGAATTGTGAGCAGGCTGAGGTAGGGCTTGTACATTTGTGTTCAGGGAGACTGTTGAAGACTTTGGGCAGCTTTGGGTCCTGGGGGAGAGCCCATAGGCAGGCTGAGCTTACCAGTGTCTCAAATTCATTTGCTTTTAGAGATTGAGAAGGATATTTCGGGCTGGATTTGAGAAAGTAATGTGGGTGTTCCCACCCTCTGCACTTTGTTTTGGGAGGGTTGGGGAATGTTTTAACAGCACACCAGTTCCTGTAAGATGAGAGATCGTGTCCCTGTTTTCAGGTGGCTGTTTCTGACTCCTCTGGGGTTACAGACTGACCCTCCAGGGCTGGATTTCGATTGGGGTTCCCACCCCTGCCTGAGATTCTCTTTTGTGAAGCAGTCAAGACTACTCTAGGGAATGGTGACTCAAAGAGGGTGGAAATCACCACTTCTGCTCCAAGTAGCTCCCATTCATTGGAAGAAACAAATGGAGAAACAGATAGTGTAAGATCCAAGAGCGGGCTGGTGAAATGGCTCAGTCAGGAAAGGCACTTACTGCCAAGCCAGATGATCTGAGTGTGAGCCCCACAAGTTGTCCTCTATCTTCAACGCACATGCTATAGTACACACATACCCCCTTGAGTGAAATAAATAAATATCATTTTTAAAAAATCAAAGAATAATTTGACTGGTGTATGGCACATGTCTTTCATCCCAGAACGTGGGTGGCTGAGGCAGGACAATGATAAATTCAAGGCCCATGCAAAATAAAACAACAAAAAACAGCCAGCAAACAAAAGAGCAATTCAGAGGTAGCCACTGAAGATGGTAGAGACCAGGGGAAGGACAACTCACCCTGGAAGAGAAAAGATGTGATCACAGATGACTGGAGACATCAACATTCAGGAAGCAGGAAATGGAATCATGGGCAGACAGGTGACAGAAGACAAGAGACAGCTGATGGGGCATAAGATTTCAGGCAAGGTGAGGCAGAGGGAAGTGTTGGGAGGTCAGGCCAGGTGTGGCATCTATAGGAGTTGGGTTTGCATTGGCCAGTCGGTGTCGGTGGTGCCTCGAGATGTCTCTATCCTGCAGTAAGTTCAGAAGAGAGAGGTTGAGGGCTCCAGCCAAGACTGAAGTCATGGGAAGCCACATGACTTTGTACCTCTGTTGCTGTAATAGAACACCCGAGACTGGCTAGCTTATAAAGAACTTTTGTCTTCACTCTTCCAGAGGTTAAAGAGGCTGAGGCTTTGGCACTTGGTGAAGGCCATCCTGTTGCATCATTCCCTGGTGGAAGACAGAAAGACAAGGAAGCATGGGAGAGGAAGCATGGCCACTTTTGGGCTAATTAACCTGCAACCCCAATCTATCCTGAGGCAGCATCCTAGTGACCTAATCACCTCTTGTTAGACTCCCATCTCTCAGCCCTGCTGCACCAGGGATCAAGTTTTCAACACATGAGCCTTGAGAGACACATGTCAGCCATTGCATCAGGTAAAGAAAACAGGCAGGACATGATGCTTGATTGGTTAAACTGAGGGGGATAAGAGAAAGAATTGAATGCAAAGACAGTTCACAGGTTTCTAGCTTGAGTGCATAGGTGGATGGTGATGAGACTCACTGGGTTAAAAATTATGGGGTGGAGGGTAAAGATGGCTTGGAGGAAGGAATCCTAATGTCCTGCAGCACAGTAGGATAATCAGAGTTTATATTTCAACATAGCTAATACAGTGTTGAGTATCTGCAACATGATCTTTTACATAATGTAGATTCTTATTACTATTTCACACTGTATTCCAGTAATTATGTACAATTGCTATATATTAGTTGAAAATTAAATAAAAAACAATAAGAGTCAGATGTAGAGGCTTATGCCTATAATCCCAGCACTTGGGAGCCAAGGCAAGAGGAATGTTTTGAGTTCAAGGCCATCCTGGATGATAGTGAGTTTCAGGCTACCCTGGACTACAGACTGAGACCCTGTCTTAATAAAACTAATGGATGAATGACTGGATGGAGGAGGAGCTAGGATGAATGATGCAGGAGACAGCCAAGTTTGAGGGTCCCACTGGGTATTTGGGGAGGAGGTCTAGAAGACCCTGGTCACTGTAGCAGCGTTGGGGGAAGGGTAGGCTCTACTGCAGAGGGAGTGGTGGGGAGGCAGCCTGGTGGTCAAGAGGGAGGACTCTGTTGAAAGCCTGGCTTTGGCTCCAAACATCTTCTGGTAGCTGATTCCAGTGAGCAGAGGTGAAACCCCCTAGAGTGGCTTTTCAGGATTGCAGCCTCCTTACTCAAGGCCTGGGACACTGTGTGGTGAAGCAATTGTGTCACAGAGCCCTGGAGAAGCGTGGGCTTGAGGAAGAGCAGGAGGCATAGCCTTCTGTCAGTCACAAGGTTTCCCATGTAAACCCTGGTCAGAGTCCTGAAGGCCTTGCTTGTCAGGGTCCAGGCGCTCATTCCTGTCTGAGCTTCTCTTGCACGTGTGCCAGCTTCCTCCTGGGGTCTCCAGTATTGTCACAAGCACAGGCTTGGCTCGAGCCTGGGAGTTATTCCTGGGAGTGAGAAATGGAGGTGGATTTGGAAAAGGTAAAATGAGTCCCCTAACCTGGTAGAGAACCCCTGCAGGGGCAGGCAAGGCCTGGAGCCCTCCTTTAGAATGTGCCATTTTCATCAGTAGTTCAAAGTGCCTTCCACCAGTCTGACACCAGCGCCTGTTCCTTGTGGTGGCATCTCTACATTCTTATCCCCTTTATCCTTTACTGAGGCTAAACAAATCTGTAGCATCCTCAGTCCCAAGGCATAGTAGAGGACACGGGACAGCGCCCAAGGCTGTGGGGCCCTTTGGAGAACAGCATGAAATATTGGAGTATTTATTTTCTTTTAAATGAGCTAAGGACAATGTTATGAGGAGAGAGCAGACTCCAGAATATAGGGATACAATATAAAATTATCACCAACTGTCCATGAAAGAAAAAATTGAGCTTTCACAACAGACCAAATGGGTTCTCTCTGTGTTTCTGCTAATCTTTGCGAGCCATCCTCATGTGTGTCTTAGTGTATCTGCAGTCACTGACAGCCAAAAGGTGCCAGTGCCAAAACGCTCAGAGCACCTTCAGTGGGATATTCTGAAGTTGGGACAGTTTTCAGATGGTAATGTGACATCACCACCTTGAGAGAGGGTATGTTAGTTTTTCTCTTTTTTGTCATCTTGACACAAACTAGAGCCACTCAGGAAGAGGAAACATCCATTGAGGAAATGCCTCCAACAATGGCCAAAAGGTAAGTCTGTGGGACATTTTCTTGATTAGTGATTGATGTGGGAAGGCCTAGTCTATTGGGGGCAGGTTGTCCTGGGTAGGATAAGAAAACAGGCTGAGCAAGCCAAGGGGAGCAAGCTGATAAGCAGTGCTCTTCCGTGGTCTCTGCATCAGTAACTCCAGCATCAGCATCTGGTCTCCAGGTTCCCACTTCAGTTTCCCTTAGTGATGGACTACAAGCTGTAAACAGAAAGAAACCGTTTCCCCGAGTTGCTTTTGGTCACGGTGTTCATCACAGCAGCCAACAGCAGTTCTGAGCAGGTGGTAATTAATAGATTTCATTTGACCTCTGCATCTGCCACCATCACCCCCTTACCACCCAAGTCCAGCTTGTAACAGCCTATGAAAAAAGGGTAGGGACACAGTTCGAGAACCACTGTCTTAAGGACCGTGTTGTCTTTCTTACTCTTAACTGTTAAGAAATGGCTGTGCTCCTGTCAGCCAAGAGTCCCTTAGGATAGGGTATACTGTGAGAAGTGTGTTATTAGGTGACATGGTCCTAAACACCATAGAACACACTTGTGAAACCTGCCTGGTTCTGGGCTACTATCTGTATAGTGGATTGATGACCACTAGTATTTTTTATAATTTATTTATTTTTATTTCCTGCACATTCATGTTTTGTCTGTGTGAAGATGTCAGAACCTCTGAAACTGGAGGTACAGGCATTTATGAGCTGCCATGTGGGTGCTGAGAATTGAACTTGGGTCCTCTGGAAGACTAGCCAGTGCTCTTAACCACTGACCCAACTCTCTAGCCCCCAGTTCACTAGTGAGTATTTTCTTTATGGAGACAGAAAAGTTATGGTGAAAATACGAGCTGAGCTATGTGACAGGCAGGGCATTTTCAGTTCAATTAAAATCATCAAGACCAGTATGAAGAATGTTCCATGGTTGATGGAAACTCCATCGTTGACCAAGATGACTTCACGTGGTGCAGTAATGTCCATATTCCTAGTCCAAGTGCTGGGTGAACTTTGTGGCAGATAGGGATTCGGATGGCTGAGGTGTACCTATAGCTATGGGGATTTGGTCCTTGGCTCCTACTGTCCTTTCAACTCACACATCCACTTACCATTTACTAGCTATGTGACCCTGGAAAGGTACTTAACCTCTCTGATCCTCGAAAACAGCTTATGTAAAATGGGACAAACAATAATGTCTATATCAAGGATAATTCTGAGACCCAAGATTACAGGAAGATATGTGGGAAGCTATCTGCATAACTTGATCAGTGTAGACTACAAAATCAAGGCTGAGACCTCTCTTTTTTGCAGGGATTTCTCTGTGGCTTTGGAGGCTGTCCTGGAACTAGCTCTTGTAGACCAGGCTGCTCTCAAACTCACAGAGATCCACCTCCCTCTGCCTCCCGAGTGCTGGGATTAAAGGCGTGTGCCACCAAGGCCCAGCGGCTGAGACCTCTTTAAACACCTCTGTAATAGGAATGACAAGGAAGATATTGTACAGGACAAGAGAGACAGGGAGCTTGGATAATTGTATGAATATTTACAGTCACCAGGCTTAAAAATGTAAAGTCAGTCAGGCTGTGGTGGTTCATGCCTTTAATCCCAGCACACAGGAGGCAGAGGCAGACGGATCTCTGTGAGTTCGAGGCCAGTCTGATCTATAGAACGAGTTTCAGGACAGGCTCCAAAGCTACACGGAGAAACCCTGTCTCTGAAAACAAACAACAACAACAAAAACAAACAAAAATGTCAGGTCAAGGTTCTGCATAGGAAATAGGTACAGCAGAAAACAAGTTGCAAAGTCAAGAGTAAGCAAGGGGGCTGGGAGCTACTATGGCAAAGGAGAGGAGATGCGGGGAGATTCAGGTCAAGTTCTGGAAGGAAGGAAGAGTGTGTGATAAAGGGAGGGAAAGAGCAACGTGTGCAGGACGAGCTGTGGGGCTGAGCCCGCGCAGCCATGTTCGTTAGAAATCTCTGCAATCCTGTTCCCATACAAGCCGTTTCCTGAGCCTTCACAGCCCCTGAACCCTTTCTCCTGCGCTCCTGTCTCGGTTGCTAAGGATCCTAGTGGCAGAGTGGCAGGCGCTCCGCAGGGAGTCTGTGAATGAGCGCCGGCTCCCAGCTTCCAGCATGCTCTTTCTAGCTTCTTCCTGGTTGTGGATGCTGAGCTGGGAACAGGAAATGAATTTTTTTTCCTGTTTTCTGCAATTTGTCTATTAAAAGAGAAATCAAACAAACCTCGAAAATACGCTGATGCTCAGTGAGATTGCAGACACGTTTCTAGTCCAGCTATTCATGGAGACCAGACTGGAAAGGCTGAGGGCCGCCACTGAGAGCTCTGTCCTGAAGACTCTGGGAATCCTGTCTGGCTTATGTGAAGGAACTTCAAAGGGACGTAGAAGCTTTGATTGGAATCCTTGCAAACTGTTGACTGAGCAACGGTCTGGTCTTTCTTCTGGAGAGGGTCTGTGAGAGCGGGCAGAGGGGCTAGGGCCGCCCACAAATCCTCCTCCCTCCAGATCAGAAGGCTGGCTCCTGGACTGCCCGTGGACCAGTGGGTTGCTAGGAAGAAGCCATTCCAGTTGGAAGGGCGCCGGAAACACAGATGCAGACTCTCAAACCTGCTCTTCAAGGACATCTTGGGACTCTGTAAAAAATCTGCACTCTAGGGCTTTTCCCCTCCTGGGGAATTAGCTGTTAAATATTTACCAGCTGCCACTGTGTGTAAACAAGATCCAAGAGGAAGCAGCTTTTTTTGCAAGACCTAGCACAGAGTTCAGGTAAAGCTGGGCAGATAGATCTACAGATAAGATTGTCTTTTGTTTTGCTTTATGAAACGGGGTTTCTCGGCGTAGAACTGGCTGACTGTCCTGGAAGTTTCGCTAGAGATCAGGTTGGCCTCCAATTCAGAGCTCCGCCTGCCTCTGCCTCATAGTGCTGGCATTAGAAGTGTGCACCACCATCGCCCAGCCAGATAAGATTGTCTCAAGTGGCCTTTCCCTAATGGAAGTTTCTGGAAGGGCTGACTACACTGGGAGTGACCCACACATCCTGGGAAAGCAATATCACAGGCCTTTGTTATTTATTTTCTTTCATTTTTCAACTCTAAATAGAATCTCCAGTTGTGAAGCTTCTAATGTCAGACCACACATGCCTCATGGGTCCACAAAAGTGAATTTTCTGATATGAAAATTCAGGGTATTTTTTTTCTCTTCAAAATAATGACCTCAGATCCTTGTGTTGAGAGTTGAAGGTAAGCCAGAAAGTTCCAGAAGACTGAGGCTGCAGCTTGGGGATTGTATTAGTTACTTGTGACCAGAATTGCTGACAAAAAGCTTGTGCAGGTAAGGGAAAGGTTTAGTTTGGCTCAGGGTGTAAGAGCGATTTTGGTCTGTCATGTTGGGGAAGGCAATATGGAACAGTTTTGTTCCTGGTGGTGGGAGTGTGTGGTGGTTGCTTGTTCATCACACAGTGGCAAGCAGGAAGTAGAAGATTCAGTCTTTCAGTCTGCAGCCAATTGTTAACATTTTTTTTTTTTTTTTTTTTTTTTTTTTGAGACAGGGTTTCTCTGTGTAGCTCTGGCTGTCTTGGAACTCACTCTGTAGACCTGGCTGGACTGCCTCTGCCTCTCAAGTGCTGGGATTAAAGGCATGTAACATCACTGCCCAGCCCAACTGTAACTTTCAAAGGCCTGTCTCCGGTGTATGTGCCAGCCAGGCCCCTTTTATAAAATAAATGAGGCCAAATGCTTAAAACACAAGCCTGTGGAGGACATTCTAGATTTAAATCCTAACAATGATTTTTAGTTTTTTTTATTATGTGTCATGTATGGGCAGCACGGGACTGCAGTGGCCAAAGAGGCCAAAAGGGGGCATCAGATCCCTTGAAACTGGAATTACAGATGGTTGTGAGTCCCTGGGAGGTGTATAGGGGGTGCTGGGAACTGAACACTGGTTTTCTACAAAACAGTACCCACCCTTAATTGCCGAGCCATCTCTTCAGTTGCCCTAACAGTGATTTTTTTTTTTTTTTTTTTGGTTTTTGGAGACAGGGTTTCTCTGTGGAGGCTGTCCTGGAACTAGCTCTTGTAGACCAGGCTGGTCTTGAACTCACAGAGATCCGCCTGCCTCTGCCTCCTGAGTGCTGGGATTAAAGGCGTGCGCCACCACCGCCCGGCGATTTTTTTTTAATAAAGCAGAATTCTAGCCCTTCTCAACTTTGTAACTGTTTTCCTTCTGAAACCCGCTGGCACAGAGACATGCTTCTGAGGGTGGTGTGTGGTGGGTTTATTTGATCCTAGGCCTTTCATTTGGAATTATTCTCCATAAATTGCAATTCTTGAGGTCCACTCAACCAACTGAGCTGCCTTTCCATGTGAAAGGCTCTGGTTTGGCTTCCTAGAGCCCATAATCTCTAGATCTGGCAGGTGGGGCACATTTTGTTAATTCCGGAGATGCAGCATGGCACACAAGAAAAAGAACAAAACTTGAAACTTGGAACTTTTTGAGTTTGTATGTGATGCTATAGGTGGAAAGTTCTAGGCCCAATGACACGGGACAGAGCACAGTCAACACCCAGGCATGCAAAGCATATTGTGCAAAATTGTTTCAGACTATGTATAGGAAACACAAACAGATGTGCTTGGACTTGGGTGCCATCCCTAAGGTGAGATCATTATGTACATGGAAATATTCCCAAATTGGGGAGATTCCTAAATTCCAAACATTTCTGGTCCCATGCATTCGGATCCAGGATGCCCTTTGCAGAATTCATCAAAATGAACACCAAAGATTCTTATGTCTATTTTTTTTTCTCCTCAAGGTGTTGGGGATTGAATCCAGGGTCTTGTGTGTGCTTGGAAAACTCTCTGCCCTGGAGCTGCATTCCTGGCCCAGTGTGTCTGAGCAAATATAATTTACATAGCAGTTTTCAAAAGACCAGGCTCCAACCCTGGCCCTACTTCCTGCCCAGAATTCTTTACTTCTTTAGGGGCTTTT